GCTTTCCAGCAGGCTCTTATGATGCTGAACTATTTCCCTGGCCCTTTACTGTTTTATTTTGAGGAAGGCTGAAACTAAGTTGCCAAGTGGCCCAGGCTGGGCTTGAGCTTGCAGTTTTGCCCCTGCCTCTCAGCATGTGGGCATTGGAGGAGCAGGGTTAGACTCCAGTTTTAATGAGTTGTGTAAACAGAAAAGAATAAGAGAAATTTTTTTCTCTCAACAATTGAGTCAGTGAGGGTCACATATAAAAGCAACTTAATTTAAATTAAGGTCAGAAATACAAATCCTCATCAAACATTCACCTCCCTTCTCTTATGATCATGATAGGACCTGAACTGAAGGGCAGATAGATAGTGAAATGGAAAAGAGAGAAAGCAGCAGCAAGAGAAGACAAGAAAGAGGGAAAAATGAGAAAGCTAGAGACAGCTCACAAAGGACACAAACTAGAAAGCAACTCTGAGAAGCCCTCCATGAAGAAAGAGCTGGAGAGACCCTGGGTTGCTGTGGGACCCCAGGCTGGTTGTTCCCATTCTGGACCTCTGTTCCTCCTTTATTGGAGGTGGCACTGGACCCTGAGTTTCTGGCCTGAAGGTCGCTGGCTCCAGTGGCTCAGCTCTGGGCCCCCCACTCTTGCCTCCCCTCTGCCCACCTTTCCCATCAGCCCCAGCGCATCCTTGTTGCTCTGAATGCCTTGTTCCAGGTACTTGATGGATTTCTTCACAAGGTGGGGCTTTTCTGAGGTAAGGTCCACCCAGCCTTTGAGCACATAGCCCTGGGATGAAGACAAGAGGAAGAATGAGCCCTTGGTCCTGAGTGGGCCTGACCTAGTCTGTTCACATCCCACCCTTGGCCTGCCAGGCATAAGCATGCAGATCTTGGGGTGGCCTGGCACCCTCTCTTCCCAGCCTTGTGCTGCTTCTCTGCCTACAGAGCCCTGGCAACAAGTCTCCCACTCCCAGCCAGGTCCTCACTGATCCAGCAGTGCTGGTCCACAGCATAGCAGGCCACCCTCCGCTCTCTACTCCCCACACTGACCCACCCCCACCTGTTCTACAGCTGTTCCAACTTTGCTGGGGTCAGAAACCAGTCCTGGGCATGGCTGTGCCCTGAGGCCTGGCGATGCCCTTCACAGGGCTGAGCAGCAACCCTGCTGTGCTATGGACTTGGTTGGTTCTGGCCTTCCAGCCTTAGGAAGTAGACTGTGAGGTACTTGGAAGACCCTTGGCCCAACCCATCCTTCAGTGGGCTAACACAAGTTCTTCCACAACCCCTCCTCCTCTAAGACATTTTAATATCACAGATGTGCTGTATTTATGTATTACATATTGTGTATGTATATCTGTGCTTCTCACAGAGTATGATATTTTTTCATTCCTTTTTCTAAGAACCAATGTTTATACCCTTGTGAAGTGCTACCAGCTCTGCTGAGAATGCATGGTCTAGAGCTTCAGATTGGGTGTTAGCATAGGCACAGTAGATATGACACCTACTGTACATGTGACCCACTACTCAGGTCACCACAGGGAGGGAACAGCCCATTGTGACCATCTCATTTGGATTTTCAAAGAACCAGGAGATGGTGACACTTAGGTAAAAATCTTCTGATTTCTAGATGTCAGTAACGAGTTCAAGATTTGTTTTGAAATTAAAATGTAGAACTGTGAAAACCTGGGGATGGGATTCTGGACAAATGCCACTCACTGTGTTTCAAGATTTGTGGGGCTGCCCTCCCCCAGTGCCAGCACTCTCAATGGGGGTCCCAGGCCACCCCACCACTATATGCTTTAAATGCTGCTGTCTTTAGCTCCTACCGTGGGATGGGTGGGTAAACAGGTGTTGGTACCTCTCTAGAGCTGCTGGAGATCTTCAGCATGTGATCAACATACTCCTTGGCCTTGTCATGGCGGCCTACGAGCCAGAGGAAGAGGCCGGCGTAGTACAGGGCAGTCTCACTGGCCAGCTTTCGGGTTTCCTTCAGGCTGCTCTCCAGCTCCTGAATCGCTTCTCGATCTGTAAATCCAAGAGTGGCTGAATTAGGACAATGTTTCCCTGCTCTTCAGGGGACACCACAGGCCCAGAAAGCTGGTTCTGGGCACTCTGGCCCACATGCGCAGCTGGGCACCAGCAGTACTGCCCTGAGATGACACAAGGGCCACCGGGCCTTGATATAGGTCTGCTCTGAGGTTTACCCTTTCTTCACTGTGCCCAACAGTGTGCTGAGCAGACAGACCCAGTGGGAATCCTCAGCTGCAGGCCTCCAACCCTTGCTGGGTTGGGAAAGGGCATTCTCCTGGCTCGTCTCCCGGACTCCAGAGATCGTGGGGATTAGGGGTAAGATTATTTTTATTGGCTTGATTATTCTGACAAGATCTTGGCAAAGGGAAGAAAGATCTTGCCCACTTCTCACGCTCTGGAGGGAGAAGCCCTCATGCTGTCTGTGGGCTCCCACTCCTTGGGCCTTGACACAAAGTCCTCTCTGAGGCCCCTGGGGAGGAGCCATTTTGTCCACTGGTCTCCATCAGTGGCCTTGGGGGCTGTGGCTCTGCTGGGCTGGGCGTGGCTTAGAGAGGATGCACTCACCAATGGTTTCACAGTGTTTGTGAGCATAAAGCAGGGCCATGATGGAACACAGGGACAGGTCTGGGTGACCACGGATGTTCTCCAGCTCACTGATAGCATCCTGGACACGCTCTGCAAGAGTACACATAGTTATGCTCTCAGGCTCCGTGCCCAGAGGTCGGGAAACTCTGGCAACACACAGATCCTTGCCAGGGCTGGCTGACCCATGTCTCGCACCACCTGCCTTCACTCAACATCTAGGGACTGACTAGGCTGAAAGGCTTCCTGTGGCGCAAGCTCCCTGGAGACTGGCTTTCTTCCCTGTGAAAGTGCTGCTAGCACCATGGTCCACGATGCCTGGCATCTTGCAGCTGAGTGGTTTGCCTTCACATAGTTGTGAGGATACTTATGCGGCAGGCATTATGTGTTGGGAGGTGGGTGGCGGTGTCAGTGCATTCCCAGCTAGGTGCTCAAGAGCCATGAGTGACACTTATCCTCATGTCTCATGACACTGGAATGGGCAGCTCAAGTACATCCTGTGAATGTGGGTGAGGCAGCACTACACAGGTCCCTGTCCTCTTTCTGTGCCTGCATGGTACCTGCCTGTGTCTACACCTACCACTGCAGCTTCCAAGACTGGAATTAGTTCAGCAGGAATGTAGCCTTCCCAGACACACACTTTTTAGAGGGAAACTGAGGTACATAGCAGGGTTGGTGAGATGAGTTCTCAAGGGTCAACTAGATAGACTGCATAGGCTTCTGTGGATTAATCTATATTATAGTCTGTAAAACAGTTCCTATACAACATAACTAAGGTAGAAGTAGGCATCCAGGTGCAGCCAGAGCTGGGTTAGTGCCTGGGGAATGCCAACAGTGCATGTTCTTACCTTCTCTGAGGATTCCATAAGTCTTAAAGAACTGCAGCACGGGGTCATTGCTGAATTTCTCCAGTCCCATAGTTGCGGCCTGCTGCACATGGCGGAAGTACTTTTCCTGACTATAGTAAATGATCCGAGCCTGTGTGGAGAAAGACCCAGTTGTAATAGCCCCAGTCCTTCCCTGTCTCTGTTCTGTACCAGATAGAATGAGATCTGCTCCCTTCTCTGTTCACCCCCAGTCCCAAGGCTTTGCAAAAGGAAGAGAAAGAGGAAACATTCAGGTTTCATCCAGCATTTTAGCAGCCCTGGGAACAGCTGCATGAATTTTCCCCAGGAACAAGTCTGTAGGTCTCTGTTTGGAAATTACCACCAGATTCTGGTTAAAATGTGATGCAGAACTCAAGTTTTATCTTAGGAGGGCAATAAGGAGAAAGAAGAACAGTAATAATCATACCAATGATTATTACTGTTTACAGATACATGTTATCATGGGCTTACCACCTATTGGAACTGTTATCAAGGGCTTTAATCCATTATTTTAAGTATGATTTTCTCCATATCTTTCATAGTGAAGGAAGCTGAAGCCTGTGGACACTAGCTTGACAAAGGTCATGCAGTAACAGGGGCAGAGATTCAAAGCCAGTCTCGCTTCCTCTAAGGTTTGTGGATATTGGGGCTGGGGACATATGTGGTCTGATTGTAAGGGCTTTGTGAGTCATATGAAAGAAACCAGTCATCAACTTAAAGGCAACAAATAGGAAGCAGCTGGAATGGTTTTAAGCCGAGGAGGGATGGGTTCAGATAGGTGTTTTTGTAAAAACTTCTCTGGCTGCTGTGGGGTGGTAGTGGGTGTGGGGAGGTGTGGGGTAGGGGACATGCTGATGAAGAGAGCTGAGGCAGAGAAACCAGAGTAGGAGCAGGCTGTTGCCTGCCTCCAGAGCAGAGATGGTGGTGGCCCTGGGCTTGCAGATAAAAAGTACATGAACCTTGGAATCACTTAGGTGACATTTCTCCTTGATAGAATTGGGAAATGGCTCTCAAATGGTGGTGGCATCTGCTGAAGTAGAAGACTCAGAAAACACACAGGCGCTGGGGGGAGGGGGACGGTAGGAGGTGGTAGGAGGTGGAAATAATGGAGATGGGATGATTTGTTTTGGGGGAGCTCAGTGTACAGGACCGGTTAAGGGGGGCGGGGTCCTCATCAGGTATTCAGGATGCCCGGACGGTACAGGAGGTAAGACACTGCTTAGGGGAGGAAGGCCAGGTCCAGAGGTGCTAGGGCCAGAGAGGTGACAAGGGAGCAGTAGGGTTGCGTGTCATCCGGCCGAGGGCGGAGTGTCGGACAGGGGACGGCAGGATAGCGTCCGGGCCACGCACCAGGAGGGAGGAGGAGTCACTGCTGTTCATCTCAGGACGTTCGCAGCCAAGACCAGGTTTGGAGGGGCAGAGCCGAGCAGGAGTGCTGGGTCCAGCCACCCGAAGTCTGGGGCACGCGCGTCCTTGGAAACCCGGCAGCTCGCCGGTTGCTAAGCGAGGCACTGCCGGAGTGGGCGGGGCAGAGTGGCACGTGACAAGGCGCGGGTAGTCGAGAGCCGAGAGCAGGAGTCCGCGCAGAACTGCGGGCCGCGCGCCGTGGAACCTCAGCTATGGGCCTGGGCGCCAGCGCCGAGCAGCCCGCGGGTGGCGCAGAGGGCTTCCACCTGCACGGGGTGAGCCGGCCGGGCTGTCCGGTGGCGAGCGTCTGGTGGCCGAGATCCCTGGCCGAGGCTGTGCCGAGGCTGCACTGCGGCTGCCCAAGCCGGCCTGTGCGGCCTGGACCTGGCCTCCGGCGCGCGGCCGCTGTCGGGCCCGAGCCGAGTGCCAGTGCTGCAAGCCGGGAGGCTCCTGGTGGCGCTCGCGGGGGTGGAGAGACGCTGGCCTGGGCAGAGCCCGCAGCTCAGAGGACCGGGTGGTCCCCGGAGGTCCGGGACTTGGGCAGCAGCGGGCGCGCGTCCCAGGCTTTCTGGGCCAGGAAGGCTGCAGGGGCGAGGATTGCTGCACACAGCCGGGAAGCGGGGGCGGGAGGCCACCGGCGCACCGCAGACGTCCGGGAGAGCGTTCGGAGCTCGGGAGGGCGGGCACGCGGGACTGGGTCCGAGCGAGAAGGGCACCTCGGTGAGACTGCCGGCATGCCAGTCTGGACCGGCGGGCTAGTGCCCCTTTAGCTGGGTGAGGATATAGGGTGAGAGGCACCGGAACTCTCAGTCTTGCCATTTTTGCTTGAGAAAAGCGGACGGGTGCAGAAGTAGGGTAGACAGGCAGGCACTTTTGTCAGTTGGGTGTCTGGCGTTTGAGTGGTCGGTTTTGAAGGGAGGCTCTGTTAGCAGCGACTACGTACATGAAAGGCTAATGAAGGGTTTTCTAACAGGAGAGCCAGGCTGGCTTTTCGAAACCAGAGTGGACAACTTTGTGCTTAGGGGTGGGACTTCCTCATGGCCAGGCACCGTCAGGGACAGTGGTACACCTCCAGCCCAGAGATCAGGCAGCAGGTTAATGGAAGGCAGAGGAATTGAGAGTACTGGCCGGCGGGGAGGTGATATGATGGTAGGGGTGAAGACAAGAGGCCCAGTGAGAGGTTTGAGAGGTCAGAGGATCAGAGGTCAGCCTTCACAGAGGTAGTTTTAAATACCTGCCCTGCAGCAGGCAGAGCTCTAGGCACTGAGGATAAAGTAGTGAACAAAATAGACATCATCCCCGTGCGCCTGGACCTTATGTTTGGATGCCCGTTTGGGGAGAAAGGAGGCCATAAGGTCCTAATAATTGTGAACCAGAAAAAAAGCAAGTTAAAGGAGAAAGAATGATTTGGTTCCATTTTGGACACAGTGGTCACAGTGGCAAGACATCTGACCACGTAGCATGGGAACAGAGGCCTCTGCAGGAAGAAAGGAGAGGACAACTCAAGTGTGGGGGACAAGTGCCCCAGGTGGAAGGCCCAGCAGGGCAGAGGCTCTGAGGTGGTGGTGTTTGTGTTTGATAAAATGAAGGAGGTGAGGTGGGAGTGCTTAGATGATGTGGCTGGCTTCAGGAGAGCGTAGAGGAAGAGGCCAGGCTCCTGTAGGACCTTGCATGTTATCCGGAGGTGTGATATAATCTCACATTTTTAAAACCAAAGAACAAGTGTGCTGCATTCTATAGACATTGCAGTTCCTATGGTGTGCCAGGCACATCCTTAGCAGAGCTCAAGAAAATGGCTATGATAGGGCAACAGTGAGGGGAGGACTTTGAGTTGAATTTTCCTGGGGTTTGGGTTGGATTGCTTGGGGTCAGATTACTAAATTAGTGAATTTATTCTTCTCTGTAGAATGGGGTTATTAAAAGCCAGTCAGCTGACCAGCATTTAGTGGTATGAATGCATTGTGCATTCCACAAGGGCCTTTGGTGGGGAAGAACAGGCTGGGTGTTAAGAAAAGCAGCACATGTTGTGGGACACAGGGTGGAACATTATGGGAATCCCCAGGGATAGCTGGTGGAGACACAGTGGGCTCTACAGGAAGAGGGTGCAGAAGCATATTTCCACTGTGGAGCCCTAGTGACCACTGACAAGCCCAGGGCCCTGGAATTGGAGTATAGCTAGGCAGAGAATAGGGTGTATGGGGTGCTAGATGGGCTGGGGGAGGGCCAGTCCTGGGCCTGGGGTCTGAGCCTCAGCACCTCATTAGTGATGGGGCAGTTGATACCCAGCGAGGCGGGGAGCCAAGACACAGCTTTGCAGGCCTAGAAGAGGTGTAGTTGTTTGGAAATGGGAGGGGCATCCCACAGACCCCACCGAACTAGCTCTGTTTTAGGGTTTTCAAAAGCTAGGCCAGGATGCAGAGCTGCCCTGCAGCAGGGCCTGGGAGCAGCTTGCTCTCTGGGTCAGGCAGACAGAACTGAAGTTGGTGGTTAGCCCCACTCTGGGGTTGGAAGCCAAGGCAGCTTCTGGAAGTGGCAAGCAACGACTCAGTGGCAACTCTGCCAGAAAGGAGTCCTGAGGCCAGAGGCAAAATGGCCATGATCCAGAGGCTCAGCAGTTTGTTCTCTTCCTTAGCATGAGGGTACAAGGGCCCAAGGCCACATGAGTTCAGTGTCCTTTCACCTGGGGCCTTGTTGACGCCCGACCCAAGAGGTCATCTTGTGTTCACAGCCAAAGGCCTGAGTTCAGGCCACCTTCAGGGTCCAAGACCTGGGGACAAAAGCAGTAGTGTTTGGACAAGGCTTTGTAAATGGGGCCTTTGAGACAGATTTCTGCCATAGCCTTCAAAGCCTGGTTGTACTTTTGGGTCTAGCATTGAGCTAGAGAATGTGGGGAGGGGTGGGGAGCGTCCTGGGTCTGTATGTGACTCTGAGGAGGTGTTCTGCACGGCATGGGGACAGGGCTGTGAGGCTGGTGGGGTGATTGAGCCTCTGAGGCTCTGCTACCTTCTAGAATGAGCTGGGTCAGCCAACCTAATTTCTGGGGTCCTCCCAGACTGCACATCTCCTGCCATGTCCCCTGCATGTGGAGCTCTCCCTGTCTGCATCTAAACTGTGTTTTGTACCCACTGGCTTCACCCCCCCCCCCCCCCCAATTCCTGGGGCAGCAGCATCTCCACAGGTCTGTGTGAGCTCAGCTGGTCTCAGCTTGGCTCTTGCTGCTTCCTGGTAGCTCCTAAAGGAGTTCTGGGCTTTGAAGCCTCTCTGGAGGGCTCTGTGGGCCATAGTGAGAAGAACCATTTTCTTGAGCTGGGAAGCTAGGATGGAAGGGGCAGGCAGTGACCATGACCAGTGCAGTTGGGGGAGGCCTTTGTCCTCTTGGAGATGCTAAGAGTGGCTGTGGTTCCTGGCACTGAGGGTGGGGCTTCTTGAGGGACAGGGTTTGGTGTGCTGACTGGCTTGCCATGGGACAGGTGCAGGAGAACTCGCCAGCACAGCAAGCGGGCCTGGAGCCTTACTTCGACTTCATCATCACCATCGGGCATTCACGGCTGGTGAGGCTCCCCTATCCACCTCTGCTTGCTGAGTAGATGTGTCCCTCTGTCCTGTTCCTGCCAAGGGGACTGGGGACAGAAGACTCTAGGAGGAGGCCACAAGGCCTGGGAGCGTGAGGGTGTGAGGGCTTTAGCTAGGGGCACACTGGTGTTCTGGACCTAGAGTCCTTTTGCTTGCTGTGTTGTGTTTGCTTCCTGGCTGTGGTAGTGCCTGGGGGTACCCAGAGGTGGGGTCGCCTCCATTACTCCCCATCTCAGGCCTTGACCTGTCACAGGGGCCTGGGTGGGGGTCAGGGTGGGGCCTAGGAGTCAGTCCTGCTGCCCCTGCAGAACAAGGAGAATGACACGCTGAAGGCCTTGCTGAAGGCCAATGTGGAGAAGCCTGTGAAGCTGGAAGTGTTCAATATGAAGACAATGAAGGTGCGCGAGGTGGAGGTGGTACCGAGCAACATGTGGGGCGGCCAGGGCCTGCTGGGTGCCAGTGTACGCTTCTGCAGCTTCCGCAGGGCCAGTGAACACGTGTGGCATGTGCTGGTGAGTGTGGGCAGCACGTGTGGGCACAGATGCAAGACCAGGCACCAGGGTGGGTAGGCGGGGCAAGGGCCAAGGCTGGCATCTCTGGCTGACTGGAGGTGGACAGTGTGCCCTACTTCTTGATAACCATGTGACTCTGGGCACTCGCTTACTTTCTAGGACCAGTGATGGTGACCCTTTTAGAATTCTCAGTGATACAAACAGCCTGCTGTGGCACATGTGCATAGGTTCTCCATGACTGCTCTAACCCTTAGTTTTTTGTTTTGAAAGGTAGGGTACTGTCTACTAGAATGGTCGCTGTACTGCCAGAATGCCATTAGTGTCTTTAAATTTTTAAAATTTCATCCATCCATCTATCGATCCATTTGTCCGTCTGTCCATCCGTCCATCTGTCTGTCTGTCTATCCGTCCGTCCGTCCATCCATCTTCTACCTAATTTTTGTGGTATACTGTTATACCACAACTGGCCACTGAGCTATCTCCCCAGCCCTGTGGATGTTGTTTGGCTTCTCTTTTCTTTCAGCATATTTTTCTTTAATCTTAGTGATCCTATTGTGGGGAAACAGGCTGGGAAGGGATCAGTACTGTAATTTGTTCAGTCACATAGCCTGCAGGTGGGGGAAGCCAGTAGAGCCCAGGGCCAATTCCATGCCATTCGCTGCCCCCTGCTGGACAGTCTGTAGACCTGGGGAATGAGGTGAAAGTTGTTGAGGTTCTGTTTAGGGACAGCCCACAGGTGACGCTGATGGTTTGCACTTCTTTCCCAGGATGTGGAACCATCTTCACCAGCTGCCCTGGCCGGCCTGTGCCCTTACACGGACTATGTGGTGGGCTCAGACCAGATCCTCCAGGAGGTGAGGAACCCGTGGCTTGTGCTGCCCAGGGCCCTGGATGGAATATGGAGAGATGGGTGCCTTCTGTGGGACATGCTTTATTTTGAGGCTTCCATCTGTGCTGGAAGCAGTGTCAGATGCTGTGTGTTTCTTATAGTCTGAAGATTTCTTTTCACTCATCGAGTCTCATGAGGGGAAGCCCTTGAAGCTGATGGTGTATAACTCTGAGTCTGACTTCTGCCGGGAGGTGACAGTAACTCCTAACGCAGCCTGGGGTGGAGAGGGCAGGTACTTCCCAGGTTGGTGGGCTGCAGGGCTGGGTGGGTGGGCCTCTTTGATGGATGTGGACCTCCAGAGTCCACTGGCTGAGATAGGAGGCTGGGCTCTGGGCCTTGCCCTGGGACCCCTGCAGCTGACTGGTCTAGTAGTGGCGCTCCCAGAGCTCCAGGGTAGGGACAGTAAAGGCGGGGAGGGCCACAGCTGCAGCCAACCTGCTGGACTGAATGTTTCTGGCCTCTGGCAGCCTGGGCTGTGGTATTGGCTATGGGTATCTACATCGGATCCCAACCCAGCCCCCCAGTCACCACAAGAAGCCATCTGGTGCCCCATCACCTGACGCTGCACCACCTGGTGCCCCACCATCTCTACCTGATGTTCCCTCACCAGCGCCCATCCCCCAGGACTCTCCTGGCCCGGGGATAGGTTCCAGGCAGAGTGACTACATGGAGGTATGTAGGGGTGCCTGTCAGCCAGAGGAAGGGGGAGCTTCACATGGGCACAGGGGCCTGCTAGCTGGGGAGACTAGGCTGACTCGGGGGTTGCAGCACTCCTGCCTGGGCCTGGAAGAACCCTCCACTGGTCCTCCTGCCCCTTTCTGAGAGTTGAGGGTGGTACTCGTGGGAGAACTCACTCTCTGTGCCCTGAGTACGGGGTGGGAGTTAGTGTGCTGGGGTACCTGTTCTGTCTGATGGGTGTTGGCCTGGTCTTTCCAGCTGATGAGTTGGTCCCAAGAGCACTTTCGGGCACTGATACTGGTGCCAGGGCACACTGGTGTGTTCTGTCAAGGAAAGCTCTCCCTTTTGGGTCACTCATGGGGTTGCAGGAGGCAGTGGTATGCTGGGGCCAGGTGGGTTCCTCAGTGTGTTAGCAGAACACTCGCTCTACAGTGTGCCCACTGTAGGGGGAGACCACATTCTCTCTGTGGAAGGAGAGATATGCAGTCCCACACCTGGGGCACCACGGCCGTTTCCTTCCTGCAGACAGAGCAGTGCTCAAGGCAGAGGTGGGCACTGGGTAGGCTGGACCATGACTCTGCTCATTGTCTGGATGGGCCCTTCACTGTTTTCTTCCCTGTGCCACCAGGCCCTACTACAAGTACCTGGTTCCTTCATGGAGGGACAGCTCCCTGAGGCTGAGAGTTCCAGCCACAGTGCTCCAGACTTTGGGGGTCTTCCGTGTTCCCTGGAGAGTCCTCTGCAGCCTCCACCTCCAGTGCAGCGAGTCATGGACCCAGGTATTAGGCAGGTCCTAGAGAGAGGCTCCTGGAGAGAGGACCCATAGCTCTGGTGTTGAAGTGGGCCCCAGGCTCAGCTGGACTTTTGACATAAGCGCCAAAATTTTCCCTGACCTGCTGACTTCTTATATCTCATACAGCAAGACAGCTGTAGGTTGGGCATGGTGGCACATGCCTATAATCCCAGCACTAGGGAGGCTGAGACAGAAGGATTGCTGTGAATTTGAAATCAGCCTGGGCTATAGTGAGTTCAGGGCCAACCACATTACATAGTGAGACCCTGTCTCAAAAAAACAAACGAAACAACAACAACAACAAAAAAAAAAAAAAACAAAAAAAACAAAAAGAAAAAAAAAAGTGGCAGATCATCAGTCTAGGGTGTGGATGGAGAATTTGGAGTGCAGAAAAAAGAGCTGGCCTACTTCTGGTCACCCAGCAAATTGGAGACAAAGCAGGCCCTAAGCCCCCTGCCACTGCTGCCCCATGATGACCAACTTTAGGCCTCTTGTTCTGCAGAACAGCAGTGGGACACTCCTTGGGGCTAGGGAGGGCATCACCAGAGCCTGGAACGTTGGAGTCTTACAGGCTGGCCAGGTAGATGCCCTTGGCACAGGGCAGGGTGACTGTGCTGTCCTGGCTTTCCAACTGGGGTTTTGTGCTGCCTTAGGCTTCCTAGATGTGTCCGGCCTTTCCCTTTTGGACAGTGGCAATGCCAGTGTGTGGCCCAGCCTACCCTCTTCCACAGCCATCTCAGCCTCAGGGCCAGAGGACATCGGCTCCAGCAGCAGTTCTCACGAGCGTGGTGGTGAGTGACCAGCACCTTCCAGGAGGGCCTCCAGGCTGTTGAGAGGGCTGTGTTAATTGCTCAGCTGGATTAGAACTTGGTCATATGGAAGATTCATACACTTGCTCTTCCATCTCCCCTTAGAGGCTGAGTGGCAGTGGGTAGGGGCCAGCCTAGTACTGCAGGCCTTCTCAGTCCCACCTTTGTGTTTCAGGGGAAGCCACATGGTCTGGGTCAGAGTTTGAGGTCTCGTTCCTGGATAGCCCTGGAAGTCAGGTCCAGCCAGACCACCTGCCTCAGTTGACTCTTCCGGAAAGCCTTAACTCTGCAGCCTCACCAGAAGATGGGCTATCTGCGGAGCTGTTGGAGGCTCAGACTGAGGAAGAGCCTGCAAGTACGGACACCTCTGGTGTGAGGGGTGAAGCCGACGGGCCAGCCAGCCAGGCCCAGGCCTTTACCCCAGAATTATACTCTGGGCTGTGACCAGGCACCTGAGGTTGTTTCACAAGTTCTGTGCCTGGTCCCAGCCCTGTGTGTCCAGCTCCCAGGGCTGCTGCACCATGCAACACACAGGGATCCCTGCTGGCAAGGCCTCTGATGTCTGCTCAGAGCCTGCTTCTACTTTCCAGATGACCTTAGGGCATCTGTCCTGCCTGGTGGTCCTGGGAGATGCCTTTGGTGGTGGAGGGCTGGCAGCAGCACTCAGCTGTAGTATTTTGCAAGAGCTAGGCTGGGGACGCAGTGATAGAAGGCCATGCACCTTGGAACCAACGCCTGTCATGTCATGGGCTCCCAGGAGGTAGTAGGCCCAATCATGATCAGTGTAAAGATGGGGTGAGGAAGGGGTTGGAGTCCAGTGCTGGCCACATGGCTTTGGAGGGCTGGCTCTGACTCCTGTACAGCTTATGGTTCTATCTACTGGGAGGGACCCCAAGCTCCAGGATTCCTTCATCAGTGGCCATGTCCTCACGCTAAAATGCAACCTCTAGCTCAGGCTGGCTGATGCCAGTCAGCACCAAAGAAAGGTTGCCCTGGCCCACCTCTGCCCCTCAGCAGAGAAGCCCTACGCTCATCTTTTTCTCCCAGCCTCTGAACACGTGTCTAATGTCCCCCATGGTGACTCTTACTGGCTCCCAACAAAGAGCCATTTCCTCTGAATATACAAGCACCCTGCCAACCACAATGGTGAAAACTTAACAGCTTTTAGTTCACCATCCTGAGTAACTCAAGGCCAGCTCATCACCTGACTAGGCTTCTTCACAGAGCCCCAACCCCAGGAATAAAGTAGAGGCCCCCAACCTCCAAGTGCCTTTGGATGGCCCCTCATCAACTGAAGTCCTCTGCTGTCACCCTTCCAGTTACTGTCTGTTTCGCTGGTTTTTGGGCACGCTGCCTCAAGCCTTGTCTTCTAGCATCTGCCTCGGCGAGACCTCACTGTTTTGGCACCATTTGTAACACACACACACACACACACACACACACACACACACCCCAAACTATGAGTGCCAAGGCCCCAAATTAGCAAACACAGTTCCAAGCACTGTGTCTGCTTTTAAAATCAGCCCTTGTCAATCCTACCAGAGCAGCTGGTGGGTGCAGAACAGTGAGGGCTGTGTTCTGGGTTGTCTAGGAGCCCAGTGTGGGTCTGCAGGAATGCAGAGAACAGAACAGTCACCACAGGCCTGCGTAGGGCCATGCAGGACCCTAACTGGCACATTCTGGCTCTTCCCTTACTGCTTTTACTTTTCCCTTAACATGGCTATCTACACTGATTACCCCAGGATGAACATGAAGCCAGAGGCTTTCTCTGTGATCCACTATCAAGGAAAATGGCAGGTAGAAGAAAATCTAATACACTTTGAAATATTTTAACTAAATTCTTTATTCCGTACAACCACGAAATACAGATTTGTACCCTTTTGGCATTGCAGACTGTCAAATTTTCTGGGAACTGTATTGGTTTGACTGAAAGGGAAAAAAGTACAACCATGCTGGGGTCAGATCTATGACAGGAAGGGACACAGCCACCCAAGGCCCAGCACACAGGGCAGATGACCCAGCAAAAGTTGCTCCTTTATTATTATTTTTTGTCTTCTTGAGACAGGGTCTTACTATGCAGTGTAGGCTGGCCTTGAACTTACCATGTAGCCTAGGCTGGCCTTGAACTCTTGGCGATCTTCCTGCCTCAGCCTTCTGAGTGCTGGGATTACAGGTGTGTGCCACACTTCTGACTAAAACCTGTTCCTTTAACTCAAAAGGCCCTTTGTGCAAACACAGCTCCAGGCTGCTAAATGTGATTTTTTTTTTTTTTTTTTTGCCATTAGTTCACAACTATTGCTAAAAAAAGTACACCAAAAGTGCACTGTTGTATCTAACAGATAGAAAGGACTTTTTTTAAAAAAAGAGGTTGGTTGCTCTCTGAGGAAGGGAGAAAGACCATTTCAGCTCCTTGGAAATGTGGCCATGTCTTTGCTTGCTTCTTCAAGGTATAGGAGGCAATGACCTGTCACTTTCCAAAGCTAGCTGACCAGCAGCGAGGGAACTCTGCAGTTGTGCTGACCAGAGGATCTCAAATTGTAAGGAATGGACCTGGGCCCATCAGCTGCCTTTAACTGAACCTATGAAGATGCAGGAAACAAAAAACCTTCTCCACCCCCTTCCTCAGTCCCTGCTGCTGTGAGGCCAGGCCACTCAGGCTGGGAGACAACGGGACTGAAATAACTGCCCTTAGAAGGCACTTGTGCTTCTGGCTTCATACAAGGAGGCCTGCTTATGTGGTTTTATGGGGGTGGACTACTGTTCTGTTCTGAATACAAACAACCTTGGGAAGAATCCAAAGTATTTTCTGCCAAAAGTTGAAGTGTTTATCCCCAATAAGTTATATTCTGTACAAGATCCAAGTGATTCTATGAAAGCTTCAGATTGTTAGAAAGAACAGTGAAAAGATGATCTGGATACAGGTAACAACAAAAACCTGTGTATAAAACCCTGGAAAAATGAATAGGTACACTTTCTAGATAGGAACTCACTGTGCAGTCCCTTTACTTTGACACCAGACAGTTCAGGTAGCACTAGAATGCAATGAGGCTTCCATCACGGTCCTAGGTTTCGATGGTGTCACACTGGTTATCCAGAACAGGAAGCCGTGCTATCTGCTGGCTTTGCCCAGGAGTAAAATGACACTAGAGCAAAGAAAAATGGCTGCACCTCCCTGGACCTGCACATAGCCAGGGCTGCGTGGGGCTCATCACTAAGCTCGGACTGGGCACACAATTGTCCAGGGGTCTTTATGTGCTGTGACCCAGCACCTGGAATCTCCACAGAGTTTCCTACAAGGGTACATCTGAGATGCAATATTAAAAACAAGCCCAACGGTAATCATTTATTATGAAATGGGCTGGCTCTCAAATTGTGCAACAGCAAATTACCATTAAAAATAACTCTTAAATGGTGAAAACAATTTGACTTTTTTTTTTTTTTTTATGACAAACTTGGAAAAAAGCCTTCATAGGTACTGCAGGAATGGAATGTACTCTTAAAAAAGCTACAGAACTGTGGGTTTGAATTTGAAACACAGTGACAGGTGTGGTCAACCATGTTCTCTAACAAGTGCTAACAGACACAGATAAGGTCCTTTGAAAGGAGTGGAGGAAGCGAAGTCTGCACTGGCCTGTGGTCAATTCTCTGTACAGCTGCAGGAGAAAGTCTGCCTGGGGCACTTCTGCCTCCATACTGCTTCCTGGGGCAACTTAATCTACACTTGGAGACTGTTTTCTATATTACATCTCGGTTAGTCACTTCAACTGAAAGAATCGTCCATACCAAACTGGTCGTTAGAAGTCTCGCTCCCGCTGGGCTCAGTGGGCTTCCTAGGACTACTCTTGGGGCCACAGAGGAAGGTAGTTAATGAATACCCAGGAGCACTGGCCCACCCTTCACGTGGACTTCTGACGATAATGTAGGGTGAGGTCACCACCACTCTTCCATATGAAGTGCTTCACTGTTCGAAGGTCCATATTTGGATCCAAAACCTAAAAAGCAAAAATTACCTTAAAATGTTCAAAAGTCTCTGACATCTAAAACTGTCCTCAACTGAGGAGCTCTGCAGGGTGACCCCGCTTTTCACCCACCCTCATGCCTGGCAGTCTGCTCTTAACTGGCATAGCTTCCCTGATGCAGACGTGATGCTGGGCATAGTGAGGTGCACACTGTCTCTGGTGGTGCCAGAAGTATGAGGTTGTCTTTCAGCCTTCCCCTGGAAATATCTCTATGATTTAAGACTTTCTATTTCTCTACCTACTTCCACTCTACTCATGGAACTCTGTAAACCCCTGGGCCCCTTTCCTGAAAACTCTCTTCAGATAAATAGGTTTAGGGTAGTGAGACCCCTCCTAAAAGGGGGGTAGAAGAGATAGGTAGAAGAGAGCCTCTGAAAGCAGAAGCTTCCCAAAAGTAACCGATTTGGAATTTATCATATCATACACATAATGTAACCTGAGCACTAGCGCTGGAAAAAAAATGGGGGCGTGGTTCTTAAGTTTACTTACCTGGTCCTGGCACAAAAGTTCAATTTTTTCCTCTGCCAACACAGCAATATCTTCTTCTTTCTCCTGTTCTGGTTTTTCATTATTAGAAGAGCTTGTGGTTTGAGATTCATTATCTAAGTTGATAATTTTCTCATAAACATGTTCCATTACTTTTCGGACTTGGAGCATGTCACTAGCAGAAAGTCTATCTCTGTAAAGGGATATGGCACATTGTGGCATCAGGAAGGATCCCTAGCTATCATCTCTTCCATGTTACTTTTCTTTGGTATTATTATAAAACAATACAGAAATACAATCAATGATCTTAATCATTTCCTTAACCCATTTTTTGCATTATGTAAGTTTTTTCTTTAGTGTCCTTCAAGGGTACAAATCATAGGCTACTAAGTGAGAGATTCTTGGAATTTACTTATGTACACAGAATAGCTACCTGGGTTTTGGTCCCTTAAATACTTTCCCAAAGCATAAGCAAAGTATCCTGGAAAGGAGGGAAGGCCCAGCACCTATAGGGGCCGGCCCACTTGGGGCTTAGTTTCCCCTAGACTCTCTCATTTGTCATGCATTCCACCAACATGCAAAGGTGGGAGTTGGTGCCCTAGTTCAGACCTACCATCTCAACCTTCTCCTTAGGCCACAAGCCCCATTGCTGGGCTGAGCATCTACAGTCAGGTATATCCAACTTGACTCATCTATTCTCCAAACCTACTTCTGAATCTCAGACATCAGTTTATAACTATCTAACTAAATTGCTAATGCTTATGCTCTGAAAGCCATTTCAGCATTCAACTCCATTTAGCTGAAGTGATATAAAAAGACTTGGTATAAAGTAAGTGTGGATTTAAGTAAAGGGAAATGGGTGGAAAGATGCAAAATGTTTACAGCCAGGTTTTACAATAGTTACTGAACTTTCATGGGTCAGTGGTACCCATTCTATTTTCTTTGTGTAAGTCTGGAAATATCTGGAACAAAACAGTTCTTAACAATATTCTTGATTTTACTTGCTAGGATATACACACTGTTCACAGTTCAGCATTTTCTTCCTGGACCATTAAAATTCTTAGGTCTCCTTGCTTTAAACCTCTCTCTGGGCCACATCCTATATTGTCTCACAGATTTCTGGTATTAAATCACTACACATTCTATGTCTATATATTCTTTGCCTTTCTAATTTACCTCCCCAAATCCTGTTGCCTACCTGTTCAATGCTGCAGGTATCTTCTGCACACTCCCATTCCCAAATTCCTGATCAGACTAGGTCCTGCACTTAAATATGTATCCTCTGAAGTTCTACCCAGCCTTACATTTCCAGCTCTGATTCCATGTCCTTCAAGAAGCTGTTTTGGAAAGTTTCAGTCAAAAACTCATTTCTTTTCCCCACTCTTGTTATTCCTTAAGCATCATAAAAGTAGTTTTTATACAGAAGTTGTACCCTACACGCTGTTTTGAAGAGACAAAAATCCTTCAATATTGTATCACCTTAGAGCTAATATTTGTCTACTGTGTTCTAAAGCAAACCATAAGGTAAGAGTTCTCTACTAATTAGATCAAGGAATAACACGATACTAGTACTTACTTTTTTAAGGTTTTTGCTCCTGAAGATGCATGAGGTTGGAGGTAGAAAGGGATTTTGTTGAATTTGGGCATATTTTTCTGAAATATTAAAAATTTAAGAGGTGTAATAGTTTCTATTAGCTGATAAACTAAAATGCTATCAATAGGAAAAGATAATTTATGAATATTTTATAAGTAATGCTGTGCAATTTATAATAAGCTATCAAATTAAGTCAGCCTTAGAGAAAATTTACCAGAAAAGTAGGGTTAGTTTTGTAATAAAAGGTATGTAAAGACAAACCACATTTAATATTAGTGGGAATATGAAATTGAAGCATAGCTCTTCTTTGATAACAGTACAAGGCATTAAAGGGAAATAAACTCAACATTAAAATATTTGGGCTGATACCTCAAGGCCCAAATGGAAACTTAACTGTCTTGAGAAAATCAGCAACATTCATCTATGACAAAAGCCACACTCTACCCTGGTGGAGCCCATCGCCCACCTCAGAGTCAGGCCTGCTGTCTTTCCCTCTGACACCTAATGAGCTCTGAGTTTGAGAGAGAATGGAAACTTCAGCCGACAACCTGGTGGTCTACTGTAACACACCACATATGAAAACAAAGGGCAGAGCACTCTGTCATCCTTTCTCAGGGTATCAGCCCCTCCACGTTTTCATGTCATACTCTGGATGTCTTTTCAGAAATAAGCCAAGACCTAAAGGCAACAATGCACCTCAGTCAAGTTTTTACACATAAAGGGGTGGCTTATGGGTCGCTTGCATATAGAAGACCATGGAATATCTCTCAGTTGTTAAGCTGGCTAA